CATGCACTTCCAGATCTTTATTTGGTCTCTTTTGTCTTTTTCTACTCCCTATTGTCACTGGCGAGTTATAAGAGTAGTTAGGAGTTCTCATTTGAATATTTTTATAGCAAATAAAACTACTCATGTCAAAGTTTGTTGCCATACCCCCGCCCAGGTTTCTTTACACTTGAATTCATTAGGCAAAAACGAAACGTGCTAAAAAGTATAACACCATGCCAACCAACACCACTTTCTGTTCGAATAAGTGACACTCAATCAAATCAAACTTAATTTAATAGCAAAAAAAAAAACGAAACGAAAGAGAAATAAAAATCAATGGCACTTGCAACGATAGGCAGCAGTCAACGACTGCGATTATAACTACAAACAAAGGAAGAATGAAACAATTTAAATGCCAATGAGACTTAAACATTTATATTAAATAGTTAAAATTATTTCAGTTTGTTTGTCAGGAAGTAGTTATACCCTACAACACTATGTGTTGGGGGTATTATAAGTTTGATTGGGCCAAAAATTATGTAACACCTCGAAATATTGGTTTCCCACGTAGGAAAGTATATATGGATCTTCCTATCTCGCCGAGCTGAGTCGATCTAGCTATGTTTGTCCGTCCGTCCGTCTGTCCATGTTAATTTGTAATCACTCTACAGGTCGCAATTATGGCCCGATCTTCATGAAATTTAGAATGGAGGTCGGGCTAGAGCCAGAATAGAACCCTATTTCTTTTGGAGATAATCGCATAATATTTAGGGGTTGAAATGGACCAAAACTGAAAAATTTCCTGAGTTTGCAGTTGCTCTACCGGACGCACTTTTGGACCAACCGAAGCGGAGTTTAGCATGGGGCTAGAGCTTCGGGCTGGGCACAAGCCTTCCAATTTTGGTGGTCATCGGGCAACATTTAGTGGGTGAAATAGACCATAACATTTCTATTAAATAAACTTCAAATTTTCCATTAAAACGCGAATATTTTTAATCCCGGCGAAATCACAAATAGACGTTACGTAGATGCCGATGGTAAATATATCTGATATATATAGCGATATATATAAAATACATATATACAAAGGAAGGGGATGTTACCTAGAACGCTTATATCTCAAGAATGGCTGGTCCGATTTTGACAAATTTTGTCAATTCAGAATTCCCTATTGGCATAAGAGAATAAAATCTAAAAAAATAGCATAAAAAGATGCCAATAATGGCATTTTTATAGATTTTGTAGTATTTTGTGACAATTTTTTATTTTTTCATAAATTTTATCGCATGCGATTTTTTCATTTTGACATAATATTGAAGTGTATATTTTGTAATATTTTTTCACCTTACAACACAGGTTTTGGTTATTATATACAGTCTGCAATTATCGTCTGATCCTCACGAATATTTTCACAAGGGTAGGGTTAGGTTCAGAAGGGCTAAGCCTATTATTTCCAAAGATGTCCGCAATATGTTTAGGGGCTAAAATGGACCAAAAATAGAAAAAATTTCCTGATCACACAATTGAAGCCAATCGACACGCCTGAGAAGAGAGTTATGGACAGGGAATAATTCTAGCATTTTGGTTGACCATTGGATTACATTTAGCTTTAAAATGGACCACAACAAATAAGAGCACGACGGAGTGCGTAAATATTTGGCGAATGTTTCTGTTCAAAATTCTGAGGGTAATATCTGGGCAGTGCTCCGTGACATAATTTCAAAAGCGAAATATTCCAAAATGGATTTGGACATAAGGGGGCTTCTAACATTGTAGTATTGTAGGGTATCACATGGTCGGCCCCGCACGACTATAGCCTTTGCTTACTTGTTTGTTCTTAAGTATGTCTCCGAAATAAAAACATACAAGGCTAAAATTTGTAAAGCAAAACATATGCGTCTACGTCTACGGAAAGGTCAAATGTGTTTATGGGAAATTATTTCAGTTGTCTAGCCTCCACATGGGTCAACTTTTAATTATAACTAATAACTAAAAAATACGGAATAAGCATTATATTCTTTTCAAATTTCGCACATTTTTGATAACTCAAGACCTTATGAGAATATGGAATATATCGAATCAATCCTTCTCTTACCTCTGCCCCAAATGGGTCAAAATTTTGGAAAGCCTGAAGCTCATAAAACACAAAACGAGCATTCGATTTTCCTATTATATTCTAACTTTCATATAATATAATAATAATTCTGGTGGGAAGATGGTCAACGGGCCAAAATGTTGACTAACTCCAGCTCTCAATAAATGCGAAATATGCATCTAATTACCTTCAAATTTAACATGTTTTAGTATTCTTACCAACGAAAGATCTGTAGTGCGATTCTCTAACTCATTTTTCGAATTACCGACAAAAATCGGTGACTTTGAAACCCAAAATTTTGATATAAAATAGAAGTTAAGGTTAATGACATTGGTAGGTCTTAGCGGCTACTTTGATTTCGTCGCTAACTTACCGATAAATTTTGTTACTACTGGTGAGAATATGGAATTCATCGGTACAGTCCATTTGGTACCTGCTCTACAAAGGGGCCAACAATTTAAGTAATAAAACTCTCATAAAATGTGAAATAAGCATCCGATTCACCTAAAATTTCACACCTTGCAATATTTTTACCAAAACAAAATATCGTGTGAAGATAATAGATATCGCCATGTCTTTTTGGCTCCTCCCCGACAAAGGGTCACAATTTGAAATAATTATAGCGATTCTATTTAAAACTGGGTATATCTAAATATTTCTCTGAACAACAGATCTGCTGTGAATATGAAATTTTTCGATCTACTCCCTTGGTACCTCCCTACAAAGGGTTAAAATTTTTTTTAACAAGTTAAAATGTATCAATCGGTTTGGCCGACGTATTCTCTCAGCCAGTGTTCGACTATTTAAATATATTTAGAATTCTGTTACGATTATTCTATTATTATGATCCTCTACGGAGTAGGTTCCAAAGGAATGGGCCAATATTGTCCATTTTGTATGGGACCTAAATAAATATTGTATAAATACTGCGACATGCCAGACTATATTGGTTACTTCCTTCCTAGCAATACATATTTCAAATTTTATCAAGATCGGATCAGATTTGGATATAGCATCCCTATATATTTTCCTCCGATTTTAGGTTTTTTTGTGCACCAAATGGCTAATATTAGTCCAAATAGATTTAGCATAGGAGCGAGAATTTCAAATTTGCTACCATATATATGTGTTTCATCCGATTTGGTGTTTAAATCTCCAACTTTCGGAATATGCACTCTACCATAATCATATTTTGTACCAGATATTTTATAGAGCTCAGAAAGCCCAATATAAACCTTTATTTTACGAGAGCTTTACTAAATATGTATAGTTGTGTGTGTATGGTAACATATAGTCGGCCCCGACCGACTTTTGAGCTTTCCTTACTGGTTTTAAACTGTCGATGTCGCTTCTATTTCTATACCATTTTTGAATCGAAGCGAAGGCGATGGCGACTTGCACATAATGTCGACGACTATAGAAACGACAACCGTAATTGGCCCGGTTATTGTCAAACTTAGCTCGAGTTTGGAGATGAAAGAGAAAGGATAATCCAATTGTGTTCCAACTTTGTGAATCATAATATTTGCATCAGTGTCAGGTACGAAAATGGACAATATTGGTCAACTCCTTCAAGTGCCTCCCCCACAAAAGGTCAACATTTGGAATAATTATAACTCTTATAAAAAGTGATGTTCGAATATATTTTATATATGAATGTGATATAAGAGTCCGATTGTCTTCAAATTACACTCATCACAATATTTTTATTAGCCCAAGGTCTGGGGTGAAGATGGAAAATGTCGGACCACTCCTTCCTGAAGCTCATAAAACACCCGATTTCATCCAGACTTGGTACATCTCAATAGTTCCAACCACACAAAATATGTTAAAAATATCTGTAGCATCTTTCATCAGATAATTTCTTCTGGTACCTCCCCCGCATAGGGTTCAAGATTTTTGAAAAAAATAACGCTCAAAGAAGGAGTAAGCATCCAACTCTCTTCAAATATCTCATATAAAGTATAGAAATAGTCCAAATCTGGCACGTTGTAATATTTTTTATCAGTCTTAGGTCAGATATGAATTGGTCAATATTGTCCAACTGCTTCGGAACCTCCCCCATAAAGGGCCAACAGTTTGAATAGTCATAACTCAAGCCTGGGGTATACATTTGGCGGCAAACCCGACTGAATATCTCGACCTTTTGTTGGGGAGGTACCAGAAGGGGTTAACCGATATTGCCCATCTCCGGACATGATTTAAGGTTGATAATAACATTACGATGTACCAAGTTTGGACCAAATCGGATACTCCCTTCGAGAGTTATCGTGTGCAACAGTCAGACAGACAGGCGCACGGATATCGATAGATTGACTCTGAATGTCCTGAAACGGATTTGGTCCGTTATTTCGATGGGTTTAAAATCGTTATCTCGATGAAGCATGTTTTGAGCGTATCAAATGAGATATTTTTCTCACCATCAATAAATAGATGAAATTGATTCCGACTCCAAATGATCCAAAATAAATTTGCCTTTAAAGAGACATGTATAAAATTTGGACCTTCTGTGATCAACTCAAAAAGAAGCGGCTTCCTGTAGCGCATTCGATGACAAAGTGTAGACTATTAAATACAAAGTGGTAGGAAAATTATGGCACATAAATTGAGGAAAATAAAAGCTTTCATGGATAAAACACCAAAGGGAAATATACATATTATTTGGGTGGGGGTAACATTGAAAAGTGCCGAAATGGGAACACACATTTACATATGGGTGCTATGCAACAGTGAAGAGGGTGCGAGGTGGCAAAACAAATATTGTTGTGCCACCATTACCCCTCGAAAGGGATATTTGGAATATTGTCGAATTAGAAGTGTTATAAAAGTGTTGCACACATGAAATATGAGCTGTCATAACACAAACAGACACTTTACTAGCAACACCAACTACAAATTCCCTTCTGAAGGCTGCCTTTTTTTGTTACGAACCTGGGCATGAAACGCAAATGAAATTCAATAACACAAATCACAGCAAAAAGGACTAAAAGTGGAACAAAAAATACAAAAAAGGGAAAGTAACGCGAATCATCGCAATGTAGCAATCAAATGAACTGCAAGTGAAAGAATTGTACGGATACGAACGCTCTTTTTGGGCATTCGCATGTTTCAGTTTGCCACGGAGTTCGATGAAATTTGCATTTGCTAATAACAACTTTGACGTGTTTTAAATTAGAAAAGTGAGAAAAAGAAATTGGAAAACAAAACAATTTATCAAATATTAAATTGCCTCTACGTACGTGCGAAGCAACAAAGCGGGCAACATATGGCTGGATTCGACAATGCATGCACTTGCCACATCGATTTATTCGCAAAGTTCCGCTTCCAACAACACACCGTCTACATCTCCAGAGCAATCGGTTGCATTCCCCGCAGTGGAAAATTCCGAAACATCAGCTAAAGCGGCTACCTCTCACACCCCCATTGCATATGTCAAATTGCATGGCAGTGTTACAGCGAATGATGGTGCTGATGACGCTGCGACATCACCGGATCGTACACCCAAGAAATGTGCCACCGTTACAATGATGCTTGCTAAGCGTATCACTCGCAATGCCTGGTCAGTTGAGGATGAACATTTCTTCGAATCGAATCACATGAACGTCTGGCAAACTTTGGAATATATATCGAGCTTTACGCTCCGCAAACGCTACAACTATGAGGGCTACAATGATAATAACAATGGTGTTTTGGCCCTGGCATCCTCGTGGCGTCGTGATAGTTTCGTGGAGAAGAATGTTAATCCCAATGGTGATGAGGCAGCCAACGGAAGTCGCAAATCTACCGGCGGAGGTCCGTCATCTGCTGGGAGCGGCAAGTATGGTGTATCGTCCGGCAATGTAAATGCATCATCGCATCAAAATCGCCAGTTTGATAACGGGGGTGATGGTACGATCGGTCCTGGGTCCGTGAGTGGTAGTGCCTCGGCCGTTGCTGGTGCAAATCGCATACGCGGTCAAAAGCCGTCGGTTAAAAAGAAGCATGGTAAAAATTCAAAAGCAAATCGTGATGTTTCAAGGACGAAAAGCAAGAGAACAAGTGGTGCACATCGTAAACGTCTGGAGAGCCAGAAGTTGCTTGCCAAGGAGTTCGATACGGAATATGCTCTATCACCATCCGACTATGTGGATTTAATCAAATGCATGTAAGTAAACGTGTATGGAATATATTGTCAATATTGGTGAACATTAATTCCATAGTAATGCTTAAAAGATGACGACGAACAAATTCCGTTAGGAACATGCATAACAAAAGTAATCCGATAAAACGTCAACATCTAATGTTTCAAATTACAAATCTAATGCAAAAATTCAATTATTGATATTTAATTATGTCTTGGACCAAAGATTGTATGCATTCGATCTTGTTATCTACAGTAGATATATATGGATTTTGCGGAATATATTTGAGGTTTGTAAACGGAATAGAACAAATATTTTTCAAAAAACATGAGAATCTAACTACAAATCAAAATTTTTGGGTATGTGCTTTTGAATGGTGATTTTTATACCCTACAACGCTATGTGTTGGGGGTATTATAAGTTTGATTGGTCCAAAAATTATTTAACACCTCGAAATATTGGTTTCCCACATAGGAAAGTATATATGGATCTTCCTATCTCGCCGAGCTGAGTCGATCTAGCTATGTATGTCCGTCCGTCCGTCTGTCCGTTACGTAGATGCCAATAGTAAATATATCGGACATATATAGCGAAATATATACAATGTGTATAAACAAAGGAAGGGGATGTTAGCTAAAATGCTTATATCTCAAGAATGGCCGCACCGATTTTGACAAATGTTGTGAATTCAGAATGCCCTCTTGGCGTAAAAGTATAAAATCTAAAGAAAATCGCATAAAAAGACGCCTATAATGATGTTAATATTGATTTTATAGTATTTTGTGACATTTTTTTATTTTTTCATATTTTTTATCGCAAGCGATTTTTTCAATTTGTCTTATAATATTGAAATGTATATTTTGTAATATTTTTTCACCTCTCAACACAGGTTGGGATTGCAATTATCGTCCGATTCTCACGAAAAGGGTAGGGTTGGGCTCTGAAGGGCTTAGACCTATTGATGTCCGCAAAATATATACATGTTGAAATGGACCAACAACTAATCATGTTCCCAATTTTAAAGCCTTTATAAAGGTCATAAAAAGAAACCAAAGGACAGCGGGTAGAATGGACAACTATTTTAGTCTGAAAAATACCAACATTACTTTCAGGCGATATCCGAAATACAAAAAAGGCGAACTGTTGGCTTTTTATGCTGATTTCGTTGACGAATATATCCAAATATCGTAAACAAGAAAATCATATAGATGAGTCTAAATTTAGAGATACAGAGGAGCTCCTTGCTTTTGGTGATGATCGCAAAATATTAGGGGTTCAAATGAACCAAAATCAGAAAAAGTTTCCTGATCACACAATTGAAGCCATTTGACATGCCTGAGAAGAGCGTTAAGGACAGGGAAGAATTCTAGCATTTTGGATGACCATTGGATTATATTTAGCTGTAAAATGAACCACAACAACTAACAGCACGACGGAGTGGGTAAATATTGGGCAAATGTCCCTGGTCAAAATGCTAAGTGATACCCTACAACATGTTAGAATCCCTCTTATGTCCAAATCTATTTTGGAAGATTTCGGTTTTGAAATTATGTCACGGTGCACTGCCCAGATATTATTGTAGTGTTGTAGGGTATCACATGGTCGGCCCCGCACGACTATAGCCTTTGCTTACTTGTTGAAAGTAACATAGACTATGTAATCTTTTGAGATTCCACTTGGAACTGGAGATATAGCATCAGAATCGTAGGTACCTCCCAAAAAAATTAGACTTTGTATGCATATATCTATTGATCTGTTATAAATAGTCTTCAATTTTGGAATGTCTAACGAAATTTGATACAAAAATAAATTTGCCAAACTATATTGAAATCGGTTTAGATTTGAATATAGCTCTCATAAATATTTTTGGCCGATTTCAATTAGTTGATGCACCAAACGCCATATGTTTGCCTGATTCCAATGAAATAAGATACGGTGGCGGAATTTGGTACAAAAATTAATTTGCCAAGATATGAATATAGCCTCCATTTATAATTTCGGCCCATCTCACATATCTTATGCACCAAAAACGACATGCATGACCGATTCCTATGAAATTCGAAATCAGTGATGCATTTTGGTACAAAAATAAATTGGCGAAATTAGGTTGGAATCGGTTCAGATTTGGATATAGCTCCCAAATATATGTTCGGCCGATTTTATGTATTCGTGGCATCAAACTCGCAATGTATATCAAATTTAAATGAAATTTGGAAGGTGTAACGGAATTTGATCTAAAAATAAATTTTGTCAAATTATATTCAAATCGGTTCAGATTCGGATATTATTTTCTCAAGAAAAATAGACTCACCACTCCTTTGCAATGACATTAGGCTAACAGGAAAAAAAATCTATACAACAATTTAATTGAGGTTCAGTTGTATTGCTACATCGAATCCTTCTAATAACAACAGAAATACAGTTCAACTTTTAAAGAGGGCACTTTCCTGTACGCTTGGCATTTGCTATGACAATTAACAAATCCCAAAGGCAATTTCTTCGTGTATGCGGACTAAATTTGGCATGTTCCTGCTTTTCTCGTGGTCTGTTGTACGAGGAATTTTCACGTTAGGGGATTTGTCTACCCCAACGTGAATATTGTGTGTTTACAAATTTGAAAATTTTCAAAAAAATAAAATTCGTTAAAAACTCTGTTAAAATCTTAAAAATACCGAACGTCACCGTTATATTAGGGTCTATACACCGACGTGGACCTGCATAAGCAACTTTTGTCATAAACCATTACAATATTCAAATGTGAAAAAAAAACTGGTGAATAATGTAGTTAACACGCCAAAACGTGCACCTGCATATACAATTTTCTGTCGTAGGTTGTAGTATCCATTAGGAACTTCAACTACGGAATTGTTTCATATTCGGTGAATAATATAGCAACAATCAAATATATATTATCTGATCCGATTTTCACCAAAATTTGAAGTACTTGCATCTACGCTCAATTCTGTCGGAAGTGCCAAAGTACTGATATTAGCCTTTTGGTTCACTGGTACCTAAGATCATTATTGTGGAGTGTATTTTACGCATGTGAGGGACGAAAATCCCAAATCTGATGAAACGTTTACAGGGTGAGATAAAAAAACTGCAACAAACCCAAACTAATGTCGTTTTTACAAATTTTAATTTTATTGAATGAAAGCAAAAAATGCCGGAAATAGCATCGAATTTTAGAACAAGTTTTGATATGTTTGAATTGGTCACCTTTGGCCGAATTATGGCCTTCAAACGGCCAATAAAACTGTCACACACTGCCCGAATGTTGCCCTCCGGAATTTTGGCCCATTCCCAGCGAAACGTTGCTTGAGGTGATCGACACTTTGGCATTTTTTAGAGCCAACCTTCATTTCCAAAATATTATGACACGATAGTCCAACGGATTGGTATACGGAGATTTTGGTGGCCATTGTGCGCTGTAAATGAAGCGAGGAACCTCATTTTGTAACCATTCTTGGATGGCGCGTGCTGAGTCCTGTTGGAATGTTCAAGATCTGCAGCCAAAATGTTTGCGTGCACAAGGCTTTAATACACCCTCCAGAATATTTTCGGGGTAATATTCAGCATTTATTCTGATGCCACGGTTGATTAAAACGAGCGGAGAGCTACCATCGGCTGTTATAGCGGCCCACATTATCTGGTGGCCAACTGAAGGTGCAAGTTTTCAGCTGACTTTGGCAAGCAAATACGATCATTTTGTTTGTTTACAAACTGCTGGACAACGAAGATTTTCTCATCGGAGAAAACCAAATTCGGCAGTTCACCACTTTCGGCCAAGCGAAGCAACTCCTTAGCTCTTTTGAGTCTATTTTCTTTATGATGCAGTGTAAGTTCTTAAACTTTTTGGAGTTTCACTTGTTGTTTTCCAGCTAAATATAATAAAATGAAACTATCACGCCTGAATTCCATCACGAATAACTTTTTTTCTCACTAAATTCTCCCAAAAATGTTTTTGTACTCTTATAAACAATATAATGAGCTGTCTCTGGAATAATTTTAACAGCTGTTGGGCGAGTGGTTTGGAAATGACGGCAGTCTGAAGTTGGTTGTAGTTTTTTTCATCTCAACCTGTATATGGGAGCAATAGCTATATCTGAACCGATTTTCACCAAATTTGATGTACTTGCTTCTACACTGAATTCAGTTGTATGTGCCAAAATTCATGACTTATATTGACCATTATTTGCACAATAAACGTAAAATCTGTTGAAGATATATGGGAGCTATGTCTAAATCTGATCCGATTATCACCAATTTCAATAGGGTTCGTTCTTGAGGCAAGCAAATATTGTTTGAAAAATGTCATTTCAATCGGAAGATTAGTGCGACGTGCATTTTGTTGACGAAAATACGTGGACAGACGAATTGACTTTTGGGCTGATATTGGCCATTTGGTGGCCAATTAACCCGAAATCGGATGAAGATATATATGGAAGCTATATCTAAATTTTATCCGATTCTCACCAATTTCAATAGGGTTCGTCCTTGGACCAAAAAAATATTGTTTGGAAAATTTCATCTCAATCGGATAATAAATGCGACCTGCATTTTGTTCACAAGAATACATGGACAGACGGACGGACGGACAGACGGACTGACATGCATAAATCGACTCAGAAAGTGATTCTATGAAGGTTCTCAAAAGTAACTATGGGTCTATCTCGCTTCCTTCTCCATGTTACAAACGAATTCACAAAGACATAATATCCCTACCACTATTTGGTGTAGGGTATAAAAAATTAGATGTACAAAAACAGTAACTTCTAACAAGATATTTTGTGTAGTGATAAACCGCACTGTCATTTTATTTAGGAGGCCGATTCATAGCTAGAATCATTCTGCGCTATCTTAAGACACTAGCTGTCCTGGTGCGCTCTACTTCCATTTGTCATAGCTTTTTATCTTCCATTAAAGAAAATCTTTTCTAAAATGAATTAAAATATTTGTTCGTTGGTTTAAGAATGAATTTTAGATGAGCCAAACGATGTGATTTAAAATCTTTAATTTTGTT